ACATGAGACTAACTAAAGATCATTTCAGAAGTAACATATATACCTTTGTAAAGAGAGTAAAGAATTGTTTACAGAAATAAACTCTAGACAAAGTGGAATAGAGATTATGTCACACTTAATAGGCATTTGAGAAAGCAAAAGAAAAAAGAAAAGATAAAAATGTCGCTAGGTGTGGGAGGTTGAGGCAGGAGGATTGCTTGAGCCCAGGTGTTGGAAGCTGCAGTGAACTATGATCACACCACTGCACTCCAGCATGGGCACTCCAGCCTCAGGCAACAAAGCGAGACCCTGTCTCAAAAAAACCAACTAACCAAACGAACAAACAAAAACCTTAACAGTGAAAAGAGCATGAAGAACATTCCAGAATCATAAAAGGCAGATGAGAGAATAGCCGACGGTCATATGAAGTTGGATAGAATAACAAGTTTGTCATAATTAGAGATAAAACAAGATACTATCAGAACATGGGTTGAAATTCCAGAACTTTCTTGAAATGTGTAGTATTTAGTTAGCTAATTTATAATGCCAGTTACTGTTCCAGTCACGAAAAAGGAACTCAGCCACAAAGAGACAGTACAATTAGGACCCTGAAAATAGAGAGAAAAAAAAACACAACACACATTGTACCAAGTATTACTAAGTAGTACTTGAGGAAGTTAAAGTGATGGAAAAATGAGCGAAAGAACAGATGAGTAACAACGAAACGATCTGGAAGCCTTTCCATTATATCTGTAGATTATGGACAGCCTGTGGAATACATCTGACCTATGTGTTCTAAGCTTAAATTTATGTCACAGTTCAGGAATTTCTGAAAGAATATTTCTTTTTTCTTTTCTTTCTTTCTTTCTTTGTTTTTTTTTTTCATCATTTTTTTTTTTTTTTTGAGATGGAGTCTCCCTCTGTCGCCCAAGCTGGAGGGCAATGGCATGATCTCAGTTCACTGCAACCTCCGCCACCCGAGCTCAAGCAATTATCCTGCCTCAGCCTCCTCAGTAGCTAAGATTACAGGCGCACACCACCATGCCCAGCTAATATTGGTATTTTTAGTAGAGATGGGGTTTCACCATGTTGGTCAGGCTGGTCTCAAACTCCTGACATCATGATCCACCCACCTCGGCCTCCCAAAATGTTGGGATTACAGGCATGAACCACCGCGCCCGGCCTGAAAGAAGATTTCTATAATCACTTTTCCATCTATTACATTTCCAGTTAACAAGGTTTATGAAAAACTTGGCTAAGTTAAAATGTCAGAAGAAATAAAAGTGTTCTGTCAAATGTTTTTTCTTTCCTTTTTATTGTTTCATTTTTTGATGTTCAGTTACTTTATTTCCTCTGAGCTATCTTTTTATGACTCCTTATAATTTTAAGCTAAAATGCAATACTTTTTTGTCAATTACATCATCCCCTTTCCACATACTATGGTTTTGTGAGGAAATGGGTAAAGTGCACATTAGTTAACTGAGCACAGGATAGATTAGGTGGCAGAATCTCGAAGGCCTAGGCAGGTGGGGGATGGTGTGTGGGGGAGGAGGAGGAGGCATAACTGGGGAGAATGAAAAGTGGCAAAAGACTGCAGAATAAACAACCAAGCATTAAACAAATAAAAGTGGGTCAATGTAGACTGGCTCAGATCTTTGAAACCAAAGGCCACACATGAAGAATATTTACCGATCTGCTTTTGCACTTATATTTGGGAACTTACTTCTACCTAAGAATAATTTTAGTTAGCAATACTTAGATATTTCATTTTTAGTTTAAATTATATGTAGGCAAAAGAGTAGCATATGCATTCCCAGGATATGCCTAAATTTAAAATAAGCAAAGCTTGCCTTGGCAGACGTCTCAGGCTCGTGCCATTTCTGTGGGCATTTTCTCTACCCCTTCTCTTGTAGCACTCACTATAACACTTCAACCAGCAGATCTGTCCTACCTGGGAATACCTCATCTTCCAGAATCACTTTGTCCTATCCTTACCCTTATCAACATCCATTTCCACCCTCCCCCACCCGCTGAAATTGTTTCAGGGAAGTTGTCAGATGATAATAATTCAAAGTAAATTATGAATAATGCTAAATTTAACTATCCTAAAACACAAATTCAGTGTATTTGTCATTCCATATAAATGACAGATTGGTTAAATATATAGTAATATTAATATGAACATGTAAAATATTTTAGGAGGAGATGAGATATTGAAGCCAATTGGGCCATTGCAAAACTTTAAATCACACCATATAGGTAACTACCCATACTGCTATCTCTGAAAATGTGGGGGTTTTGGGGGAGCAAGGGGGAATTCTTATTTATCACACTGAAATTCAAACATACAATTTGGAATTTTAAACCACTATTCTCCTTTTTCTGATTGTAATGGAATCCATCAATCTTTAATCTATAATGTCTTCTAGGACCTGAAATAATATTTTTGCACTCTAAAATCTCTAGGATTAAAAAACATGTCTGCCAAACAACGCAGCCAGTATTTACTTGGACATGTTTCAGTAGAGTTTTAATTTATTCACTTTAACCATCTTGGAATTTCTGGGCTGTGGCCTAATTTTATATAGTACACAATTGTTACACCCTAAATCTAAAAAATCTGCTTGATCATAATATGTTCAAAAGCTTGGTCATAATATATTTTGAAAAGGTGAAATTAGGTGGTATGTTAAGAAACTGTTATTTTAAACTTTCCTGTAAATCTGACCCAATTCTTAGTAGCCTGCAGTGACTCCCTGAGCCACAGACCATTACAACAAGGAAGCAATTAACGTTCTTACATAATTGGGAATGTTACTGTAGACAATGTATTGCATTAAAAAGGTACTATGTAATACCCAATATATTAAAAAAAAGAAAACAAACAGAAAGCTGAAATCATAAATTATTCCTGCTGGCTAAAATTCTTTCTTAGTAATGAACAGTATTTTTTTTAAGAAAATTCACTGTTAACAGAGCAGAAGTAATGCTAAAATGTTATGCAGTTGAGTAAAGCAGATTGTGATAGTATTCAAACTATCTTTTCTCAATTTGGTATTCAGTATTCAATGTGGAAAATATAAACAGAAGAAAATATTGAAGTATATATGAGTATTTTTCATGATCAAGGCTACTCTGTTAAGTAAAAATTTCTTAGATATGGTAGATTAACAGAATTGATTGACATCTCAAACTAGTTTAGTTTCAGAGAGTATTTGGGAAACGAGGAATAAAATGGGAGTTTGATATCCACTGGAAATTCATGTAGTTTTTCTCCATTGGCTTTTTACATGTGCTTTTATGAAAATTATGAGACTGACCTAAGCATTGCTTTAAATACTAAAGTTGTGCTTTATCTTTTAGGTCATTTTCACCATAACATATATAGTGCTGATGTCCAATTCACCAGTAGAAACTGATATCACATTTAAACACACATTGATGAAAAATAAAATTCAAGTGAAACAAGTCAACAATAATCAATTATGTAAATAAGATGTTTAAATCACTATTGTTTAATTACCACATATACTTTGATGTACACTATTTTAACAATATTTCAAATTCAACTTTTAAAAAAGTTATACTGTTTATTAAACTTGCCATTGATTCTTGATTTTAAAGATTAGAAATAAAACAAATCTCCCTCATATGACAAATGATATCTATGTAAAATCTGAACAAACAGTATGTAAGTATGAAATATTAGAAACATTCCCATAAATTTAGTAAGAAAAGACAAATATTTGCAAAAAGAAACAGAAAAAGATGTCTGTTATGATCGGTAGTACAAACATTGGTCTGGAACTGTTTGTAAATATAAAAATGTTTCATTTCAAAATACTAATGATAATATTTATATGTACAAGGAAATAATTGTCTTCTTCATTTAAAAAGTGGCTACATATAAAGTTTATAAGCCAAATAACAAGCAATAACATTAGAAAATATAGCTGAAAAAAGTTCAACCTTTCAAAAGGTATTAAACATATTTGAATATTTTTAAAATTACTGAAATATATAAATATAAATACATATGTGCCTTTATTTTCTAGATTGGAAGACTCAAACAGAGATTTTGTGTTATTTGCTAATATTCTTCAGTTCCTAGAGGCTATGTAATGGCCACTCAATCAAAATTTCTTTACTAAGTGAAAATATTTTGGAAATTATGAATAATATGTAATTCATTTAGTTTAAAAATGTTGATCAAATATCTATCACATAACTGGTTACCTATCATAGACTAGGAAAGCAAACCTCCTCCAAGAATAAGATTTTTAATCTATCAAGAAGCAATGATATAATTAAATTTTATTATGAATCCAGAAATTGTCTTACTGGAGGTCAGAAAAAAACTCCTACACTCATATTCACTACTTCAAAAGACTGCTCTTCAAGAATATATGTTATATACAACTACAGGAAAAAAATCCCTATTGAACAACTTAATTGTTATGAATATTGTATATTCAATTGTGTTTCAAATTTGTATAATATTTTTATTCTGATAATACAAGTAATGCTTGTCTACAAGAATTCTAAGGTCATGACAATATCAGTTGTAAACGATAAATGAATTTTTCTTTAGGAAGAGTTAAAATCATATTTGAAATAAATCTAATCATTATGATTTGATAGCTTTTATTGACTGTATATTCACATCCTTCTTAATGCTTTCACATGATACATTTTGGTTATACTTCTAAGCAAAAAAAGTAAGTTACATTTTATGATAATTACAATGGAAATGATTATTCCACATTATAGTTTTTCAGAAATGATCATTGAAATATTTTATTCTATTTTATATTAAATACAATTATGATGAATATTTAGACATATCGCTCAAATAAGGTACTTTTAGTTTTTTAACTCAAAATGTCAAAAGTCACTCAATTGTCAAGCTACAAAATACTTAAGCACATTTTCTAAATTAAATTTTTATTACTGCTGTGAAAAGCATCATTAGCAAACGTTTCATAACACAGTTTTAGGAAAAGAGACTCTTTTAATCTTACCTTCTGCTACACAAATAGCCCATAACATAAGGCAAATAATCTTTGCTAGAAGTTTCATTTTTTGAATCTTTTATGAGGACATTTACCAGCTAACTCTGTTCACAATGTCCAATTCTCCTCTTCCAAGAATTGTGATTAGTGCAGGAAAGAACTTGCTGCAAAAGGAAGTTGAAACTAGATGCTCCGCCTATCAGGAACTTTTGCAAAGTAAATAAAAAATCAACCACAAGCCACAAGCCCAGCAATGCCAGAGATTGAATCTGATTCTCGCTGCACTCCCTCTGAATGTTAATGCTGTGACCTGCTCTTGGACTTTTATTTATTAAGCTAGGTAAATTCTCCATTGGAAAATGTTCATGTCCTTGGTATGTGCAAAGCAGCAGCTGGTGATACCCTCTGGATTTCATAAATCCTTCAATTATTCAAACTCTATTCCGGTCTATTGTGTATAAACCTCAGAACAGGAAATAAGAGAAACTTTAAAAGAAATCACATACAAAACTTTGGTTTAGGCAATGTTTTCACAATCAGCACCCAGGCAATGTGTGGAAACTTTGCCAAGAATGCAGTGCTGGATGAATTTAGGGGCCTGCTTTTCTAGCAATTCATAAAATTAGTTTTCTAAATACTTTTTATATATACGTTTTTGAAGCAACTGGCTCACTCTCATTTGACATAAATAGGTTTAATAATCCCAAAATCAACAAATTAAAATCCTGATTTTTGAAACTTTGTTTTGTGTAATACGTATAAGGAAAACATAAACAAATTGTATGCTGAATATTGAGAAGATAAAGATACCTATGAAACCACCACCGAGGTCAAAACACTGAACATTATTACCTCCCAGAAAACCCCAGTACTCCTCTTCAGTCAATAGTCCTCTCAACCCTCTCCCACATCCCCCACAAACAGAGACCACAATTGTGATCTGCAAGAACATGGAATATATTTGTCTGGCTTTTGTACTTTGTATAATGAAAAAGAAGCAGTTTACTCTTATGTTTAGAGTTTTTCACTAAGAATTATGTTTGGATCATTCAAACACATCGTGAGATGTAGTTATAGATAGTTCATTCTTATTGTGATTTCATATTCCATTTTTTGAATAGTTCACATTTTATTTATCTGTGTGCCTGTTAGTGAGCATTTGAGCAGATTTTAGTTTGGAGCTGATATGAATAGCGCTTCTATGAGCCTTATGTTAAGTGGTTTTTGGTAAACACAATCCACATTTCTGGTAAGTGCATACTTGGGAGTGAAACACTGGGACATAACTTATGTTTAGGTGTAATGGATAAAATTAGACAATTTTCCAAATGGATTATAACACTTGGACATCACTTCACGTTTCTATCAGCAGTGTCCAAGTTGCTCCACACCCTCAGAGATACTTGATAATTTTAATCTTTGTATTTTTAGCTTTTCTGGTAACACAAAGCAATAATTTTCTGTGGTTATAATATGAATTTTCCTGATGACTAATTGGAATGTAAGAGATCCCTGATTCCCTTTGAAGGATGTGCAACAGCCATGCGGTTTGCCAGTTAGGTCGCCCTACAGCTCAAACCCCTTATGGGAGGGGGAGCACACAGATGGACAGGTGCAGGAACTGGGGTGAGCGCTTTCGGGCTCTGGCCTCACAGCAGCATCTAGGGGTGGGTGTCTGCGATTTCCGAAGCCCAAGTGGGCATATGTTACAGTGTGCTCCTTTAGCTTTACCATCTGCAAATGGTTTATGTGTTAATCAGCTCAACAGACCCTCTTCCTTATCTCATGGGCAGTGGGACAGTGAAATAGCCTTCTGTATCCCGAGCTCTTGCCCAGTGTCCCAAAAGAATCGGATCACACGGGGGCTCGAGGGACAAGGGCAACATTTTATTGAGTGGTGGAGGTGGCTGTCAGCGAGATGGAGTGGGAAGGTGACCTTCGCCCAGAGTCAGGCCTCCCAGTGGCCGAACTATTCTCCACCCATCCCTGGCCAAACTCCCCTCGGAGTCCAGACGTGCCTCCTCTCTTTCTCTGCTGCATCGTTCTGCCATCGCAGGCCTGTTTGTCGCCTTGCCTCCCCCTCTCCTCACTTGCAGGTCTCTTCTGGAGCTTGGAGTTTGGGATTTATATGGGGGTAGGACAGGGGGGCATGGCGGACCAAAAGGCAACTTTTTGGGTGTGAAAACTGAAATGCCTGTCCTCATTTCGGTCCACAGAGCTTCAGGCTTGAGGCTGGGGCCTTTACTTGGTGACCACCCTCTTGTACCCAGTATTTCCCTGTCTCCTGTCCTTAACATCATGAAGTTGAGAAACTTTCCTGTAGTAATTGGTCATTTAGATATCCTCTTTGGTGAAGGTTCTATTCAAATCCTTTGCATATTTTTTTTCTTATTGAGTTGTTTGTCTTTGACTTATTGCATTGTGGGAATTGTTATATTTATATACTCTAGATATGGAAATATTCTTATAATATGTATTACAAATGCCTTCTTCCAGTCTGTGGGTTTTCTTTCCATTCAGTGTTAGATGGCTTTTATAATAATAAGCAGAATTCCTTAATTTTAAAATAGAGCACATTTTCAATTTTTTTCCATGACTAGTGCATTATGTCTTATTTAATGAAATCTTGCCTAGTCCTAGAGCACAATGCTTTTCTTCTAAAATAATTATTTTATCTTTCACATTTAAGACCTTTAGAACAGCTGTAATTGTCTTTTGTGAATAGCATAATAAAATGCATTTTTAAAATAGAGATATCCAATTGTTACAGCATTATTTAATGAAAGTGTCAGTCTTTCCTCTGTAATGACACGCTTTCACCTTTGTCGTAAGTCAGGTACTGGATATATGTGGGCCTATATCACCAAGCTCTTCTGACTGTAATTGTCTATTTTTAAAACTTTTCTAAAGTGTAAATTTCTGGGAACTTTGGCTTTCTAGTTATCTTTTAAATTGATTTCTTGTTTAATTTCATACTCTAAATAATTATACTGTTTTAAAATTTAATGGGTCTTTCTTTACAGCCCATTATAGCCAAAATTCTACCTAAATCAGCAGGTCAAGTTTGAAATTTGTTAAAATCTTTTGTATTTTTACTATGTTTTTGTCTGGTTATTCTATCAGATATTGAATGGGTGTATTACATTTCCCATTATAAATGTGGATTTGTGTAGTTCCCTGTTTAATGCTGTCAATCTTTATATATTTTAGGGCTATGATGATGTCTACATATGTATTTAGAATTGTGATATCCTCCTCTTGGTCATTTTCTCACATTAAATGGCCCATCCTAACTCTAATTTTGCTTCCAGTGTGAATTTTACATTTTATTTTATTTTTATTTTCATTTGTGTAATAAAAATATAAGGATTGAAGAGTTAGACTTAGTCATTTGTTCTGAGAAAAATAAGAAATAAAATAACATAGAAATGTAAATAATCAAGCAAATACAAATTCTGAACTATCATTCTGAAGTTTAACTGGTAACACATATGCTGACATAATAGATCATTTAAACTTCTTCTTTATTCTTTCCTTAGCTTTATCTGTTTGAGTATGAATCCAAATATTTTACCTGGGCTTAAATTTCCAATAGCGGTTTCTATTCTAATAACAATATTATCACTTGGAGAGTATTCCAGAAATTTATCAAGATTAATATTATTGAGTGTTAATTATATACCAGGCACAGATCTAAGCACATTTATTCAATACTTAACGCAATACAATGAAATGGGAGACTATTACTCTTTCAAAGGTATAGATGACTGAACTGAGCCACAGAACATTTTAGCAACTCCCTTAAAGTCACAAGACATTGCTAGAACCAAGTATCAAATCCAGTGGTCTGTGTTTAAAATATGTGTTTAAAAATATGGTAAAATATTTACATATGTACTCTAGTGCATGCTTCACATTATTTATTTTGCAATTATAAATTATATACTGTAAAAGTATTGAATGTACGCACACCCACACATATATATATGTTTGTGATAATTTAAAGTACATGCAGGAATGATTTTACTATGCAATCTTCACCTAAGTTGCAATTGTTGAATGTAAAATGCCACTCTTTTATCCAAGTAAAAATAATCCTCTTGAATTAATTTCAACAAATATCTTTCAGATGTATTATTTTTATAATTTTTTCTTTATTCTACCTTTTTTCAAAGACTGATGGTTAAGACGTCAATTGAGTGCTTTTGTTTCCTTTTATTCATCAATGCTTTTCAAAACTATAGAAGTCTATTACAAAGAGATTTAGAAGAACATAAGAAAATTAGCATCATATTATTCCTTAAACTCATAAAATTATTATGTAGTATTAGATTACCATTAGAAAGAACAGATAGTAAATACTTAACTCTTAATACTAAGATTAAACCTGAAGTGGATCCAATTTATTTTCAATATTCATGTTGGCTCATTCTCAGCAAATATGTACTATGTATACATAGGACATTAAAAATTTAGAAGGGTAAGGATATAAATTTGTATTAGAGAAAAATCCATAGTTAAAAAATTAGAAATAGTTAATATCTATGCTAAGTAACAAATGACTGTTATGATTGAAATTTTCGAAGGACGTTTACAGGAAAGAGAAATTACTGAACACTGGTTTTGGTCAGTGATGATTTTAAGAACACTCTGAGACTGTGAAGAATAGGAAAGTGTAGGGACAAATCTAGAATTAATGAGAAGACTCACACTGGAGCAGTGGTTTTGCACAAGGAAATTGTGGAAGAAGTAAAAGGAGCTTTAAATGAGGAATGGTTTGAATGCCAGATCAAAAACTTGTGAATTATTTTACAGGCAATAAAGAATCTTTGATAGATCTAACTGAGGAAGAAATGTAGGTAATGCGTTATTTAAGTAATGGTGCTTTGGCGGTTGTATTAAAATAGATGGAAGAAAAAGGACTCAGAGAAATGGATATAAATTAAATAAATTACTGAATGAATTCATAATACAACAATTACGTAGCATCTCAATGTAAAGAAAAAGTGTAAAAACTAATATTTATAACAGAGCTTGATTTTTCTATGAAGCTAATGAAGTTGACGTTTCAAGGCTCCTAATTTGAATAGACACCATCAAGGACCTGAGCTGGCCCTTAGTAACGTTTCTGCATGGTCATCTATTTTGTAAAAAATTGAAGAGAATTAATATCTTAATTGCAAGAGAATGAACGGTTGTCTCTCTTATTCTATGCTGATTTCCCCTTCACTGCATTTCCACTGAGTCAGTTGATATTACAGTTTCAGGCATTTGAAGGATGTCACAAAAAGACACTTAGAATGCTATTGGTTTGAGATTTACGTCGTATATTTTACAGTCACAATTAAATATAATTTGATAACTGATGGTCCTCCAAGTGTAAGAATGGCTTCTGGGAATACTCCTACCACTCCTGTGCCAAATCAATTGG